ATATATATATAAATATAAATTTTTATATTTTATCCTCTTAGAAAGAATGTTTTAAGTAAGCTAATTTTCTCCTTGCGTTATAGATTGTATAAAAAAAATGATCTTTAATATGATTTAGATTGTTTCAGACGATATAAGAACCAGGTCACTTGGTGGTACAGGAATAAACACTGCTGGACTGGTTTTATTTCATTGTCATTTAAGCAAAAATCTTTTAATTAAAATATTTATCCTTTTGGACCTTCGCTTTAAACTTTATTTATAGTTAAAATGACTAGAAAATTTAAAGCTGTCTTCAGCTGAAACGCCAATTCATATAATTGATATTTTAAAAAAACTGACAAGAATGCAAAATTTATGGAAAGTCTAGCAATCATAAAATCTAATTTTCTTGTGTGAGCACTGAAAATAACTGTAGAAGAAAAGAAGAAAATTAGGGAGCAAAAATTTGCAGGGGAATTTTGTCTGTCAGAAATACCAAGGTGTATCAAAAAGATGGATGCTTTTGAATATATTTTCAGAATAATTCAAGGAATTTGGGTGTTCAAAGAGTAAACACTTGTGTACACCAGCAAATGCCATCAATGAGCTTGTGCAAACGGAAAAGTCAAAAACGATATCATTGCAGATTAAAGTGAAGAGCGACTGGTTTTGGCAGCGACTGGTTTGGCGACCATATGGTTGTATAAATTTACATTATGTTATAGAACATCATATCGTATCATAAACAGAGAATCCCATGATTTCTCAGTCGAATTATTTGAAGAATCAGGAGTTTATTGAGTGATGTACGTGGAAGTCACCTAAAGACTTGTTTTTTTTTTTTTTTCCCCCCTCCTGATGAAACAGCGGCCGAGCGGTAAAGTCGCTAAACACTGGTAGTTCGGTCTGAGGTTCAAATTCCGCGAACGGGCTGGTTGCATGGGCATTTTCGTGGTTTTCCCCATGTGTAATGTGTATATGAGCCAGTTTTTCTTAGAAAGTCCTCCACGAAGGCATCCCTCCCGTTAGGCAGATAGCCCTTGTGTGCTTTCTCATAATTAAATAAACCAAAACCTCTTGATGAAACCAGTCTTCCTTTTCATCTCATACCTTCAAAATGCTTAGCCTCTAAAGACTGATAGAGGCTCTGACCAAATACTCATGAAATGGATTGAATTGGATTATTAAGTTACGGCAGAGCTAAAAGGAAGGATGCCTTCGTGAAGAACTTTCTATGGGAAACCAACTGGCATACACATTACACATGAGAAAAATCCACGAAAATGCCCATGCAACCAGCCCATTTAATTTAAAACTTTTTAATCTTATGATATTTGATTCTTGCAATTTCAAAAATAAAATATTTGACTAAAATATGAATAACATTTTAAGAAACTAAATGTAGGATAAAATTGTGTAAAGCAATGGGCACAATGATAAAACTGTTTAAAGCAGTGTGTGTATGGAAGTCATCTTAAGTTAAAATGTCGGTTATACATCACTCTTATTTATATATATATATCTTTTCTGAATGGAACAATGAAAGGCGTGTTAACTGTGCTTTACTGTATTTTCTCTTTTAATATATGCAGTTTTCAAATGCATCGTAGTCTGGGTTACAAAGTATTCTTCCAAAAGAAACGCAATTCAAATAAATAAAATCAAATTAAATCAAATCAAATCAAATTAATTTTTAAATAATTATCTGAAGAGACAATGCAACACTAACAATTAAAATAAAAGTCTAAAAATTACCTAAAATAGTAACTATGACTAAAAATATAGTATAAAGAAAACTATTTGAAAAAAAAAAAATAAAAATAAACGATGTACCTTTGATTTAAACTACGCAGTTCGAATAAGTAAATAGAAATTTTTAAAACAGTTATTCGAAAGAAACCATGCAATACTTAAACAATTAAAATGAAATTCGAAAAAGAAAAAATACTTAAAATAATAACAATTATAATTAAAAATATAATATAAAGACCATTATCTGAAAAAAGGAATGATCGTGACTTCCCCCTCCCCTCATGCACGAGGTAGAAAGGGAAAGGAAAATAAGTTGTTATATTAAGACACAATAACCCACGGAACAAATAATAATTCAGAAGTCAAACGACAAAAGTCAACGTTATATTTTCAAATTTTTCACAGGACTAGTTTCAATGGTTTTACCGAACCATCATCTTCAGCTGCAAAAGCTTCTTATCTTATGTAATCATTATATCCTATCTCGTTCAATTGCGCTTTTGCAGCTGAGGATGGTGGTTCGGTAAAACCATCGAAACTAGTCCTGTGAAAAATTTGAAAATATAACACTGATTTTTGTTGCTTGACTTCTAAATTAGGTTGTTATATATGAAGAAGTTCGCCAAGTGAACTATTCTTGGCGCAATTGGAAAAAAGTGTCAACATAAACTGTTGAATTTCGCACCAAATTTTACAAACTTTAGTATCTAGGCATAATTTGAGTTGTAGAATCGAAATATGTAAAAAAAAAATGGTATCTTATTTCATCTGCCCAGTAGAACGGGAAATATAGAACTGTCTCTTTTTTTTTTTTTTTTTTTTTTTTTTTTTTTTTTTTTAGCAGCGTAAATATTTTCTTGAATTTCATGAATACAGGGTCTGAAAAAAATTGCAAGGATGGCAAAGGTAAAAAAGTTTTTTTTTTTTTTTTTTTTTTTTTTTTTTTTTTTTGGAGTGTAAAGGGCTTTGTCCCTGAAGGACTATTGTTTTCATTTTGCGTTTTCAAACTGTTGCCACCAAATGTTAGAGTCCTACATTGTATTTGAAGAAATTAAATAATGAAAAATTTGCATTAATATATGTATATTTCTCACATTGGGGCATAATCCTACTGCGAATATTGGCATTGGAAGCCCAAATTTTAAATTTGGAATTTGTTTTATTATCGATTTCATATTTTGTAAAACTTTAACAAATTTTTGAGTAATAAACTCAACAATTTGAAAGCAAGCAATGGCAACAATGGGGGGGGGAACCTTTTTATCTCCAGCGTGCGGAACTGTGTATCGGAAATTCTAAAGATAGGCTCATTTTAAAATTATTTTGCGACAATGCTATTGAACTGAAATTTATGGTTTAAGTGCGAAGAACATGATATTTAATAAATAAAAGTAACATACAAAACGTTAAAAAAATGCCCCTTTGGTCGTAATTTAAAATCTGAAACCTTTCGTGTATATATATATATATATATGTATATGACAGTTAATGAAAAGAAGGTTCGTGAAGAGAGTTGTTTGATTCCTAGAAGTTAGAAAAATTTTGCCTGTTATCCTAACAGTCTGTGGTAAATTATCATTATATACATGAGGTATGATGTAAATGAATATGTAAATGCTGTGAAATGCAAGATAAAATAGTCTGACAGATTATGTAAAATCATTCATAAGAAATTCTCACCAAAAAGTAGTTGTAACTGTTAGATTGTAAAAAAACTGGGAATGAAGGTACATAACACATAGATATGCAGATGATTAGAAATACAGTGTGATTACACATTTCATAATGCCATTGGAAGGCATTTAACTCAATTCTCTTTGATGCATACAATTTTACATGTACTTAATCGGTTGCAGAAGGAAGCCTTTCTACTAGGGATGCCATTGCATCATCACTAAAGACAACATGTTTAACTGTGAGTTTGAGAGGGGAATAATTACCAGGATAATGGAAGCTAGGTGGTCAGCTTTGTTAGTAGCCTGCCACATAGGCCATTCTGATTATACTGTGAGAAGATGTTGGGATCAGTAGATGAATGAGAGGTCTTACACACAGCAGCTAAGTTCAGATACCCTTAGCAGACCAATAGCTGGTAGGACTATCACATCACCTAACATGGACGCATAGCACCAGCTGGCATCATTGCCCACCATCCAGACACAGGCAGTACTTTCAATGTGGACTTCTATGTCTGTCTACACCATTACAAGGTGGCTGGCTGAAAGACATTTGGTGGCACGGTATCCAGTATGTTTGCTACTAGTGACACTCGCCTGTCCAACTGTTGCCTTTTTTTTTTTTTTTTTTTTTTTTTTTTTTTTTTTTTTTTTTGAGTGGTGTAGAACTTAGTAGAACTGAACCACAACCAATTGGAGCCAAGTTGTATTCAATGAAGAATCATGATTAAGTTTGGACGTTGATGAGAACTGTGTAAGTGTTTGGAGGTCCTATGGGTAGTTCCTCAATCTTGCCTTTGCTTTATAGCAGCATACTGCTCCTATAGTTGGAATGATATTGTAGAGTATCATTGGATATGACGCCAGTCACCTCTAATACTGATCCATGACATCCTTCATCTGAGATTATCAGATGTCATGGCTCTCAGTGAACTGGAAGTTGATCTGTCAGCACTATCGTTATCTTCAGGGCTGATGTTTTTATTTTATTCGCCTTATAATTCCGTACTAAATGTAGTATTTCATCTCGATGTACTCCATCTTTGATATGATTTAAATCAAATTCCTCGTCATTATAATTCGCTTCCAATAGTGAAGAAAGTGACACAGAGGTTATTGAAAACGAAAAAATTTCGATTGACAAGTTAGTCGGTATTCTCGGCACAGCAATTATAGGACTTGAACAGCGGAACTTTGTAACTGAACAAGAAATTATGTCTGTTTATAGAATTAAAGAGAAAGTATTATCACATAAAACGAAGCAACTTAAACAACTTACATTGAAAGAAATGTTTAATAAAGTAAACAAATAAATATTAAGCTTTTTGTAAATTTTTATACCCTTTAGATCATAATTGTTCTTTTTTTCATGAATTCATATCTTGAATTTTATAATTTCTGCATGCCATCTGATCAGATTTAAACTAATGATCTATAATCCGGAAAAATCGATAATCCGGAATCGCCGAAATCCCGACGAGTCCGGATTGAAGACTTTTGACTGAAGTTTCAGATTTTATATCATTTGTTAATAAGTTATATTATGATTAGTTTTCTTTCATATATATATATAATTTTTCTTAATCCTAGGCATACTAAAGGAAACATTGACAAAGAAGTATGGAAGATACTGGGACAAAGAGTATCTAGAATTTCTTGAAGCTATATTAGAGACTAGCGGGAGTGGTAGCTAATGTATGAAAATGTGCAATGTAAATAAATATAAAATAGTTGTATGTATTCAAATTGTGTTTTTCCTCATTTTATATTTAAGTATTGAATATAAATTTGTTTTCTAGAAAGTGTGAAACACATTTTTTAAGTTACTTTATGAACCCAAAGAAATATGAGTTTGACACTATTTGGTAAAGCATATGAAGTGCATGCCAAAATATTTGGTAAAATTTTTAGATGAAAAAATCTGAAATTAAAATGCATGTTAATGAAAAAAAAATTAAATTCTTCTAGTTGCTCTGTGTGCTTGATAATTAGTTCTGAAGTCACTTAGACATCTGATAATCACTTTTCCTCTATTATACTTCATACATCGCATAATTTAATATGTAACACAAATGTTTATTGATTTAAATTGTTAATAGCAAAAATAGCTTAAACCAAATATCATTTTTTTTTTATACTTAGTAAAAAACTAAAGTTTAAAATTGAAATTGAAAATTCTTTTGAAATGAAACTGGTTTAAGCTACATGAGCTTAAACCAGTTTCATTTCAAAAGAAATTCAACATTGCTGTTTACTAAATAATATGCATTTCTGATTAGTACAGGCCTTTGACAGACAGCCTGCAAGTTTATTTTTAATTGTATATAACTAAGAATTCCATATAGCTAAAAAGCTTGGCCTTATTGATCATTTTTATTGTTTTTACGATTCTTGTGTTACAAAAGAAGTTTTGGGGGCATTACAACTTGATTTTGGAAACCTCTAAACTCTGAGACGTTTATCTTTTGACCTAGTGGTAAGACTGGTTATTAACTCCTGCGAACCTTAACGGTATATGCAGGGATTATTGGAACTACTCAATTAATTATTATCAACCACTATACTGTACTCGTCTCTGATAGAAGATTCACTGGCCTCGCCAGCAATTATCTTTATTTAAACAAAAATTCAAATACAAAAATAATTACAATTATCTTGATTATGCTAAACTATACAATAATGATTCAAACTTAGGATTGTGATATAATACAATAAATCCAACTTTGAATAGTATTAAAAATTATGCAATATATACAACCTTTTGCATAAACAAATCAATTAGATTACATTATAAATAGATTATTTAAACAATTTGAAATATGAAATCCTTACAAAATTCTTTAACATTACAGAGATCTTATGAACACATCTTCTTCTGTTTCAGTTATAATCTTCATTATTTCTTTTATTCCATTTTTAGATTTTTTATCCTTGAAGATTTTAACCATATCCGATTCAAATCTCAATTTTGGTATAAACTTACACTATCTTTCCTTTAATAAATCACAAGTAAATACATGATCAACATCCGCATCTTTTTCTCCACATTGACACATAATAGATTTAATATTGAATCTATTGTAATAAAACGGAATATGAGCATGATTTGTGAGGAATTGATAACCATTTCCAATACATCTTTTAGTTTTTACTTCTTTTAAAAACTTAAAAGTAAATCTACCTTTTAAATCATTGTCCCAATATTTTTGCCAAACTTGGAAAATATTAATCTATAGTAAATTCTTGAAAGAAACAAACGAAGTTGGAAGAAACACGTCAATATGCTCTTTCTTAGGCGCTTGCTTTGCATAAAGATCTGCCAATTCATTCCCTAAATGACCAACGTGTCCACGTATCCAGTGGGAATTAATATTTCTTCTCTTAGAAATATCCAAAAATAAATTATGGGCCTTTAATACTAAATCAGAATAAATCTTGGAAGAAACTAAAGCTTGTATAGCACTTTGGCTATCTGAATACAAGTCAATATCTTCTTGAGAGTCTTTATCTCTGATCCACTCCAAGGACTTTAAAATAGCGTAAACTTCCACCTGAAAAACCGTTGAATTGTCACTCTGTACAATACTTAATTCACCACTTGAATGTATATACAGCGCTCCTTACATCCAATGAAACCAGAGCAGTATGCAATTTATTCTTTCTATTTTCTTTCACTTTTTCTAATAAATCTTGAATAGCCAGAGTAGTACTTCTACCCTCCATAAAACCATATTGAGAAAGATTCAAAACATGACATGAATTCAAGTGAAACCATAATCTTTTAGTCATAAGTTTATCCAGAATTTTTCCAAATATAGACAACAAACAAATAGGTCTATAGGAAGACGAATCATTTTTCTCTTTACCCTCTTTATTTAAGAGAATCAAAGGAGCCACTTTCCAAACTTTTGGAAATATGCCTTATCTTAAACAAGCGTTGTTAAACTTTATACATGAAAATAGAATTTGTTTTTAGAATTTCCTCGATTATATCAAGACAGATGCCATCAGGTCCTGGAGCACGACCTTTATCCATTGAATTCACAACTTCTAAAATTTCATCAATTGTAAAATCCAAGTCGTCATAATCATTTATTTACATAATTCAAAGAACTTTGTCTTACCTCTTTTTGAAATTCCGTATCATCAATATTTACATCATCTGGAAAATGGTATTTAACCAAAATTTCTTGAATAGATCCTGTAAAAGAGCCATCATCCTTTTTGAATAGAAATTTTTGAAAAAAAAATTTTTTGAATTGAAAGTCAATGCTGATTTAAATTTATTAGTGGTAACCTTGTAGGGAATACCAAAGGGTTGATTTAAGTTAGTTTGGGAACACAAATCGTCCCAAGAATGATTTTTGGCAGAATTAATTTCTCTTTTATAAAGTTCTCTTAGCCGTTTATAAATATCCACTAAAAACTTTTTATCATTGTCATTGGAAGCTCGAAGAAATTTTCTTCTAATCGTAGTTTAGATCTCAGTAATTCCAAACTTTTAGTCCACAATATTGCCTTTCTCTTTCCTAAGCACCAGCTCTTTTTTAGCCAGTTCTTTTCGCAAATAAATATAATTTCTTTCGTTAAACTTTCAACTACTTTTTCAAGATTCCCATCATCCACCTCTTTAACATTAAACTGATCCATTAAAATCACTAAATCTTTCTTAAAATCAATCCAATTTAATTTACTAAGACTATATTTTTTTTTAAATTTGACAATAATCTTTTCTTATCAATATTAATCTCAGTGTAATTGTGATCACTACAAGAGACGTCAGAAACAACTTTCCACTCAATACTATAAGAAGAATGAGTCAAAGTTAAATCGATCCATGAGGAACCTATAGTACCCTCAAAGGTGCGAAAAGAGTCTTGAGTTATTCAATATGCATAGATCATAAGCATTAACAAATTCTGGAACCAATTTTCCTCGGGAATCTTCTTGGATTCCCCATACATTACTCTTAGTGTTAAAATCTGCTCTAATCAAAATTTCTCTTGTCTTTTCTTTATTTATTTAAAATCATAGAAAGTTCACTCAACTGTTTTCCCAAATCAGCTTTTGGTGAACAATAAGCAGATATCAAAAGTAGATCATTAAAGCCAAAATTCAATTTCAATACAAGTAAACAGAAGTAAATATTTCTACAACAGAAATAGCACTATCAAAAATGACAATTCCAGCAAGTGGAATTTCTTTATCAGAGTAATACAGGCTGAATTGGGAAGAAAATCCTTTTATTTTATTATCTATATACTAAGACTCTTGAATAAGCACAAAGGAGTATTTTTGTTCAGTAAAACCTTGTTGTAATTGAGACATTGCAGCTTGTGCATGATGTAAGTTTATTTACAAATAAACTTTTAATCCTTTAGAACTAAGAACCATAATTAGTTCTTTTGATTAATAATTCAAATTGTCTTTTTAAACATGAGCAATTTTTGTCTAAGCTTGAGTGTCTCACATCAAATCCTAATTTATATTTACTGTTGGCAATAGTGCGATTAATACATACAGGACTGTTATTACAATCCCAATGGTTATGATCTTTTTGTGCACATTTTGCACAAACCATTTCCTTAGTTTCTTCATTCTTCATTTTTGATAGTGCTTAGTGCACCTTTTGTGGAAGTGTCCAAACTCTTACGATGTTTGAATACTCTTTAATTGTGTTACAAAACCACTTAAAGTTCAATTTTCCCTGATTCATTTACGGTTTAAATCTCCGGGGCTGGACTTCCACCACCCAGTATACTTTATTATTTTTGCTTTTAATCTGGAAAAGGGGATTAAATCCACCTTCTTCAAATACTGAATTTTATTTTAGTGTAGCTTCCTGCAATTCTTCTTTCTTAACATCAGAATCAATATTATACAAAATGATTTTTGGATTTTTCTTAATTGGGGCTCTCACTTCAATATCTTCCTTTAACAATGTATTTGTCTTAATCTCTTCTTCTAATCTATCAACTTCTTCATTATTTAGACACTCAACAACGATGACTCCATTATTAATTTTTCTAACATTCCTAATTCCAGTTTTGAGTTTAATGGATCAATAGCTTCTACAACCTTCATTTTAACTTTTTCTGAAGATATTCCTTTTACTTTTGGATAAATTAATGCTGCATGTTCATCTTTTTTCTTAGTTTTATCTTTCTTTGGAACTGATCTTTTTTCCGATCTTTGTTCCTTTACCACATCAGCAAAAGATTTTTTCATAGATAGTTTTTGAATTCCATCTAACTTACTTTCCAAGTTTTCTATCTCCAGTACCTGAGAAGCAATAAAATTAAAAAAAGCTTCTTGCACTTTGAAAATCTTTTTCCGTAGAGGAATCGTGACTCTAGAAGCCTCTTCTAGACTCGTTTCAATATCACTTATCAATAATCTAGCCTCTTCAATTAGTTCATTTTGAGGCACTGTCTCTGTTTGAACATTCTTATTCTGTCCTAATTCAATCAGGACCCTGGGGTTTCCCCGATTGAACTTGGATCCTGGATTTTGACCTCCCCCTTGGGAGGAGGAGCCCTCAGACCATGCGAAGGTACCAGACTCCTGGGAAGTTTATACTATTGGCTTTTTTCAAAAATAAACTTTATCAATAAAACTTCGCTTTTCTAATAATAAATGCTTTTAATCACAAGATTAGCCAATAACTTCCCCTGACCTAATGGTAATCTCACTTAGGATGGAAAAGTACCATTCCCTGTAGCTCAAATGTAGTAATTGTGATTATT